ATTATGTAACTTGTATTTTGGCACATCTTGATTAGTTCATTTTTCTTCTCAATGGTGGTATTAGCACCTTGTTGTGCTCATTCCATAGGGGAGAGGAAGACTAAGAAAGATATTGCCATATTTTTCATTGCTATAATAAAATTACAAGGCATTGCTTTGAGTATCTTTTTACAATATTTATGTCTTTAAATTTGAATTAAAAAATTAGGTCACAATTCTATAATAAATTTACAAGGCATTGCCATACATATTTTTTTAACATCTTTTTGTCTCTAATTTCTATTTAATTTTTAAAAAAAAATTACTGCTTAGCCGTTGGACCCATTTAGCCCGTGGGGACCGTAGGCCCGGCCCGTTTAGCCCGGGACCATGGGTTCGTGGGCCCGATCCCGAGTCGAATCCTACAAAAAGTAGGTTTAGCCCAGGACCATTTAGTCCATTTATTTAAGGACCGGCCCGGGACCACGGCCCATGAGACTGACCCGCTTAGGGGCCCGCCCGGCCTACTTGCCGCCCCTAATTTAAATGAAAAAAAAAAATATTCTATCTATAACATGAAAAGAAAGTACTATTAGGATAGGGTAGGGGTAGGAGGGGTAGGGTGTGGGGATGGGTTGGTAGGGGTTGGTGGGAAGAGTTTTCGAAAATGTTTTCCCTTCTCTTGATAGGGAAAATATTTTCCTCCCATTTGAGGAAAATGAGTTCACGAGGAAAATATTTTCCAAAACATTTAAACCAACCAAACATGGAAAAATTGAAAAATATTTTCCGTAAAGTATTTTCCTTCATACCAAACACACCCTTAGTGTACTAAATTTTTGAACTGCTAATTTGAAATTCAAGAATTAAATGTCCTAAATTTCTGAACTGCTAATTTAAAATTCACACCCTTAGTGTCCTAAATTTTTGAACTGCTAATTTGAAATTTAGAATTAAGTGTCCTGAATTTCTGAACTGCTAATTTAAAATTCAGAGCATAAGATTCAAATTTTTGGGCCCAATTTGGACACGATGTCCCAAAGTTTTAACTTTCTATCCAAAAGCAAAGTACTAACGCCGGGCCTACCATAGATTTACGGGTAAAAGTTTCACGAAAGGTGCAATCAGATGCAATCAACTCCAGTAACAATGTGGAGAACTTTTTTCATCTCCTTGATGGGATCTGCAATTCTGGATTTTGTACGCCAAGCAATATGCTCATCAGGTCTCACTAAAATGGCTCCTCGGTCCGTCATCTGACAGATGTCCCACCAGGATGGAAAATCTGATGAGCTCTTCACTTCCACAACTTCAAAAAATTTACAGGGAGTCAATGCAGCCTCACTTCTTCCGGTTCCATTAATACTTTCGTTTGGCCATATTACACAAACCTTTAAAGGCACTTTAAAATTGCTCGCCACCTCTATAGCAGCTCGAGCTAGATAGTAGGACTCCTCCAGTGGTGCTATTATAAGGACAAACTCAACCTTATCTCCAGATACAAGGTCCAGAGTAGAGAATATTTCCTAAATAAGATCTACTGTTAGAACAAAAATAATGAAACTTGAAACAGGATGACTGCAGGTCGAATATTGTAATCTATTGCAAGGATCGAGATAAATTAAAAATCCCCATTTGATTCAATTATTTGGCTTCTCCAAACATGTGCCAAGAGATGAACGATATGAAAAGACCATGATCTAACAAGGTCCAGCTCCTACAAATGCGATGTCCCCTTGAAAGAGTCCATACCTTACTTGACGGGTTAGAAAGCAGTTTAACATTCATATGAGGGAGTCTTGATCCAGGTTCCGAGCAAGGAATATAATCCCTTCTTCGTCCTGAAGGTGCTTCATGCGCATTCAACCCACTAAAATCTTTAAACACCAATGCTCCTTTTCGGTACCTAATGTTAACACGTTGAAATTAGAGTACTGATGCAAACAAGTATGCCAAAAGGATTATTTAAGATATAAACAATCATCTGGCGTACGCCTGAGAAGTCTTTTTTTTGGAGTTCTATTCAGAGTTGAGTCAGTATCCAGCATTTATAGGAGCCCATGAACTAGACAACTTTAATAACAAAATCAGCTTGAGCAATTTGCATTAAATAGATAGAGTAAAAGTAGATACGCAACATGAAACCAAGATCCTCAGCAGGGAACTGGAGCTGAAGGCTCTGTCCTTCTTCAAATATCTGTCTTAATTTGGCTAGCCTTGCAGATCCAAGTGGATTATTTTCATTCAATACAAAATCTGAGAGTTGTGCACGACCAATGCTGAATATTCCATCTAATATTGTCCTTTGAACTCCAGATGGCAGAACAGAACCAACCGTGTTATTAAGAGCTCGATGTACTGCAGGCAGAAACACATAATGTCTTTAATCAGATATTGATGTAATAAAGATTAAGTCTAAGTTTGCACTTTACCTGCATTTGCTATTGTTGGATCAAGACCAAGTGCAGCAGGAACTCTCATTGCCCTGATGTAATAAAGATTAAGTCTAAGTTTGCACTTTACCTGCATTTGCTATAGTTGGATCAAGACCAAGTGCAGCAGGAACTCTCATTGCCGCCTTAAAGTTTTGGACGCTAAGTGCTGTATTAAATTGGGCTATCTGAAACATTTTAAGGAGTGTGTGAAGCTCATAGGAAGAAAATCAGAAAATCGGTAATATTGTATATTATACAGTATGCATTATCAAACCAAGAATTGAAGAAATGAATACCTGACTACGTTCTAGTTCATACGAGGTAAGAATTGATATTGGTGAGATACCCTTGATTACAGAAGCTAATTTCCACGCAAGATTATGAGCATCTTGAATACCAGTATTCATCCCTGAATAAAAGAAGACATCTTGAGCAGATTTCCTTCCCCCAGTCTGAACTATTTTATCCTCAAATAAACAACAACAGCTGCAGATATATTCCATGAAACGGAGTTGGATACATCTTACATGACACCTTAGATCTTCACACCACCTAACTTAAAAGTTATCAAGATGCAGTTATTTTATCCCCCTGCAGAATAGAAAATTTTCCTCCAGTTTCTTTTATTTTCCCCCTTCTCTTTGAGATATCTTTCTCATATTCGAACAATCTCATCTAAACGTTTAATAAGTTGCCAAGGGGAAATGACACTATTAGTTACCTAATGTATTATTTTTTTAAATAATGGTGGGGTCCAGCTTGCGCGCACTCTCGACTGTTCCACTGGATACTTGCTACCTCCCCCCGCACAAGTATCGGGTTAACTTTACCCACCAAGGCTTAGACAGATGCTAGGTCTCAAAGATTTTCACCCACTTCATCAACTGCTAGGTCACACCCTTGGTGCCCTAATTATGCCTTTGAAAATTACTCTTTAAGAGTTGGCCAGGGATTCATGGCCAAGCATGTCATATTTTGTTGATAGGGACTCGAACAAGGACATGCTTTGATTGCATATTGGATTGTGTGAACCATCTCAATCAAAAGCTTTAAATGCTCGAGAGGGAACACTATTATAAACTTAATTATTTATTTGATTTTGTTCTTAAAATTACCATATAACAATCAAGTTCTAGGTCTATAGTCAGATACAATATCAATTGTGTTAAATTACCAGCGCAATGCATAGTAACTAACATCACAATGTGGTTACTGATTGCAGTTCAGATCGCCTCCAACCTGCTAAAGCTATCTTGGGCCTAACTTAAGCTAATTATAGCTTCGAAATTTTATGCTTATGCAGAAATCTTTTACCTGCCTCCCACAGAAATAACTTTTCGATTTTTACCTTTACATCAGCATCTCAGGAAGCAGCCTTGTTCGTCTCAATGACAAAAATACACTATACGACTATGCATTAATTTATTTTCTCTCCCCTCCCCTACCCCAACTCTCTCAACAGAAAAGGAATTGCAACAAAGTTATTCTTAAAAAATATCTAAGACTTGACAAGATAATAGCATTACAAAACAAAAACTTAATCAATGCACAAATAGATTGCATACCAAAACCACCGGCAGGAGGAAATCGATGAGCAGCATCACCAGCAAGGATTATCCTGTTGTTACAAGACAGAAACTTCTCAGCTATTTCAGCATGCATCATCCAAGGCTTAATATCCATCACATTGACGTCTGCAAGCTCTTTGCCGATCAATTTGAAGATTAATCTCTTACACATCTACAACCAATTGTAAAGTACAAAGAACAACATGGTAAATAAACCATATTGGTTCAACTGTCAAGCATTGAACCAATATCCATCACATTGACGTCTGCAAGCTCTTTGCCGATCAATTTGAAGATTAATCTCTTACACATCTACAACCAATTGTAAAGTACAAAGAACAACATGGTAAATAAACCATATTGGTTCAACTGTCAAGCATTGCAGCCATAGCCCCCGTATTGAAGTAGATCCAAATGAATCCGGAGGAACAAAAACCCATTGATTCATTCTCTTCCACTAATGGAAAATTTTAAGAACTGATAGAGTAAGCAAAAGATTCAACAAAAGAGTAGAAAAATACCTCGCAACTAAAGTCCTCAAGCTTTTGTTGAGGTGGATAAAATGGTACCTACAAAATTTTTACCAAAGCTATCAATAATGCTGTTAACCGATAACAACAGATTCAGATTTAAAAATGCGAGCAAGTGGTTATTATAGCATTGAACCAAATTCTCACATAATTAAAGAACTGGTTTACCTGCAGGACAAATTCCCCTTGCTCGAGATCATGGGCAACAAGAACACCAATAGCATCTTTATTAAAGATGAAAAACAGCATGCCAGGTCTTTCTTTGATGAGATACTTCCCTAACTCTTGGCTTTGGAAGTGGACACTAACAAGATTTTGTAAGTCCTTTTCACCTCTCATGTTAATTCCTAAGGACTTTCTGACGGTACTTCCTGCGCCATCTGTACCAACAAGGAAACGACACTGAATATCTCTCTTTATATACTTCCCTTCAGTAAGGAAAGATGCCGTTACACTGACGCCATGCTCAGCATCATTGATTGCAATGNATCTCCAAGACCATCCAATTTGCGAAATATCTAGAAACAATAGCTACATCAAAACAAACGTCTTTCAATCAAAATATTCTCAAATCTCAGCTACTTTCTAGGCAACACAACAAAAGGCAAAAAAAAAAGAAAAAAAAAACTTCCACATGACAAAACCAACCTCCATAGACCGGTTGTTGATGAAGTGTGCTTGAGGGTGTTTGGAAAAGACCTTGCTCTTCTCTAAGATCGCACATTTTATACCTAACGAATACCAACAGAAATTATAGTCCAAATATCAAAACAGAACCCCAGAAAATAATTTCCACCCCTCAGTTATGACCTAAACTCATTTTCCTTCACAACGTCTCAACTCTTGGTCCATCTCACATATTTCAGTCATTGTGTGAATGATCATAACTATTTCATAATTCATCTTATTGTACAACCAGATTTTATATTCAACCAACCACTCGAAAATGTCCAGAAACTGATTTAAGATAAGTGAAACGATTTTCCACAATAGTATTTTTCGTGTAAAAAAGTACCCTCCATACCAAGCACCTATAGCATTTGAAAAGATCTAAATAGGGCAATAGGGGGAAAGGGTATCAAGAAATTACCAAGTTTTGTAAGAAGTATGGAGAGGACAAGACCAACTGGACCAGCGCCGATGATCAACACCGGCAAGACAGAATCGTCACTTGTAACAGATTTGGAGTCTGAAAATGCTCTTCCTCTGAATGACTGCCTTCTCACTCTGATTTTGCAGAGACCAATGCAACTCCTTCTTGCACTAATCCCCCAAATTCCCATTCCCTTTCCTGGAGGAGCAAAAAGAAGAATTTTACCACAAACTCGTATTTCCTCCTGCTTCTGTACACCTATGTAGCATCACCAGTACTCAAAGCAAAATGACTTTAGGTCATAACGACGGCGACGAACTCGACGGACGAAAACTCTAGCGCGACCTCACTCTAGTGGTGATTTTTTACGCGTTTTTTGGTGTATTTATGGCTTCGTTTTGGATGTTTAACAGCTGGTATTATGGGTGTTTAATGGAGGAAAATGGTAAAGAAAATGGGGTGTTTTTAGTGAGAGAAAAAAAAGGACTGTTTTTGTGGTTTTGAACTGATTTTGGCTGGGGTTTTGGGGCTGTTTTTCAGCTCATTGTTGCTGGGTTTGGGGCTGTCTTCTAGCTTGTTTTTTAGAGCTGTCTTTGAGAGCGATTTCGGGCTGAAGTTTCAGGGTATTTTACTGAACTTTCTGGCCCGTTTTCATGGTTGTTTGAGGCTGGTTTTGAGGTGTTTTGGAGCTGGTTTTTTAGCTGAAATTTTGCTGCAAAAAGGGTGTTGTTTCGTCGGTGTTCATGGCTGGATTTTGGAGGTTTCAAGGTGGCATTTGATTGCTTTTTGTTGGGAAAATTTGATGTTCCCGTATGGAGAATAAAAGATGTAGCTCACGATATTTCGCCTGAACAATAAAAAATAAATTAGGCGAACACTTCCAATTATTAAACTAGTAAAGAACTAATCGAAAATTCAATAAAGAAACTAAGCACACAGGAGAAAGAAAAATATTCAGAAAGTTGGGTTAGAAAATTGTATATTTAGCTATCCAACAAATTCCAACAATCCTCTACATATCTCAAATGGTATATAATAATAAGGAGAGAGATTATAATTTATTGGGTTTCAGGTATAATGAAATTATCTGGTGTCTTGTAGATATGGATAAAATAAGATTTAACTTATAGAATAATTGGTGAAGTTGACAACTTCTATGAACAAAAAAATTTTGTTGTAAGTTAGAGATCTTATTTATCATATTACACCCCCACAATTTTTGTTGTTATCGCGGTTTTGCTCTAATAGGTCATGCGCGCGCCAAGTATTTATGAATGCTCTATAAATTTTGCCACAAATTGTATATTTAGAAAATTTATATATATTCACAAATTCCAACAATCCTCTACATATCTCAAATGGTATATAATAATAAGGAGAGAGATTATAATTTATTAGGTTTCGGGTATAATGAAATTATCTGGTGTCTTGTAGATATGGATAAAATAAGATTTAACTTATAGAATAATTGGTGAAGTTGATAACTTCTATGAACAAAAAAATTTTGTTGTAAGTTAGATCTTATTTATCATATTACACCCCCACAATTTTTGTTGTTATCGCGGTTTTGCTCTAATAGGTCATGCGCGCGCCAAGTATTTATGAATGCTCTATAAATTTTGCCACAAATTGTATATTTAGAAAATTTATATATATTCACAAATTCCAACAATCCTCTACATATCTCAAATGGTATATAATAATAAGGAGAGAGATTATAATTTATTAGGTTTCGGGTATAATGAAATTATCTGGTGTCTTGTAGATATGGATAAAATAAGATTTAACTTATAGAATAATTGGTGAAGTTGATAACTTCTATGAACAAAAAAATTTTGTTGTAAGTTAGATCTTATTTATCATATTACACCCCCACAATTTTTGTTGTTATCGCGGTTTTGCTCTAATAGGTCATGCGCGCGCCAAGTATTTATGAATGCTCTATAAATTTTGCCACAAATTTCATAGGAACGGACTCACTCCACACTCATGTAGGTTCATCCATCAAGTGTATTCTGCTGCCCAATACACTACCTACAAAAGGCTATGGATTATTGGATTTTAATAACTCAACTTCACATTCCTTGCAGTCTTACACTATATGCATACACACCATATGAAGAGACATAATTTAATGGTGCACATTTGATCAAATAATGACTAGTTATTACCCATATAAACCTACTTCATGGGATCTCCAATCACATAAGTTGGGTTACCAATATTGTTGATACATCTCAAATTGACAAAAGTCTCAACCCCCGATGTTTTACTTATAAGTCAAACGATCGGCGAAATCCTCTTTTGACTACACATAATATGTATAGAAATTTCTCTCTAAGCAATTGCTTTATCACATTATGTCTCAAGAGAATGTGTGTACTCTTCCCATTGAAAGAATTATTTTCTTACAATAGCTATTGCGTCTTGGCAACCAAAATTCATCGACCCAAATATTGTGGGCTTAATTCCTAATGGAATATTCACCAAGAGGTTACTTAATCAGCCTTATTGTCGGGCAATTTCAATACCATAACACCCACCCAAAAGTGATCACACAATCATTAGTGAGTTTTTTTCTCATCTGAATCAAAGATTCAATATCATCATTGTATCCATCTAATACAGTGAAAAATTCACATACAAAATACTAACTCATGCTATTTCTCAAGTAAGGCATAATATCATCTCAAATGAAATAAACTTTCTATACAAGTGCCTTTTGAAACATCTTGCAACACATATAAGAATTTTATTTTCCTTTTGGTATCTTCCATACTATAATACCAAAGTAGAATTTTCTAAATATAGAAGCAACTTTAACTTCTACATGAATATCTTAAATTAGTAGGAAACAAGTCACAATTCAACTGTTTTTTCATCCAAACGACTAAAAGACCCGAAGCAAAATAATTTGCTGAGTCAGAAGCACAATATATTTTTTTTTTATCTTCCAATATAAATTTACTCCGCAAAAAAATCTCAATTTTGTAAGGCTTCAACATTATAATTTTAATTTTAAAAAAAATCAATTTTTCTCTTCTTTGGATCAGGCTACATAACTCGGGCAAGATACTCTGGTCCTCACACTTTCAAAAATTTCAAGTTAATCAAATACTCTTTATACAACTCATAATTATTCATTTCACCTAACACTCCAATATCATAAACACTTCCAAAATTGGAGGCCAATTATGCGTACCTGATACTTAAATATTATGTACCACAAAAACATATCAAGTGGAAGAGATTACCGCCTTTAGAGTCCACTAGACAAGTTTTTTAAAACCATGAATGCAGCAGCGACAATAATAATAATAATAATAATAATAATAATAATAATAATAATAATAATAATAATAATAATAATAACATCTATTTGTTTTTCATCTATTACTCTCAAAATTATAGAATTACTGGAAAAGTTGGTTTATTTGTATTTCTTCTGTGTTTGCAAGTTTGAGTATCACATAGCGAAACTATTAGATTTGACATTCTCCATAAGAACATTGTAAGATATATCCTTAAGATTGTTGCAAAATTTTGACGTTTATGGAGAGTAAAAGATTTAGCTTGAGACGTGTCAAGGACATTGCCCTTAAGAATATTTTGCCTACGCAATAAAGAATAAATTAAGCGTATCCCCCAGGATTCAATGAGCTCTTCCAGTTATTAAACTGGGAATAAAACTAGCAGTAAATTCAATAAAAAAATCCAGCATATAGGAGAAAGAAGAAGATTCAGAAATTTGTGTCTTTAGCTCTCCAAAGATCATGTTTATATAGGTATTACTCCAACGGCTAGTTTCCAATAGCTAATTTCTAACGACTAGTTTGACTATTTCAAGATGAGAGAAAGTTGATAAAAATAAGGGACACTTACTTTTGAGATACCCACAAATTCTAACAGTTTTATGGCTGAAAATGACTAGCTTTTGTGGGGGTTAAGGAGTGATTTTGAGGGAGGAAGATGATGCCTTCCTGGCTGTATTTTGTGAAGCTCTATGATGAAGTTGTGGCTCTTTCTTTTTCTTAGTTCCTACGGCTTCTTTTTCGAAATAATTACATGAAAATACAGTTGACCCAACATCATAACCAAAGTTGGCTCATAATTTTAAATTTTACCGACCTAGCCTACGTTGTATATATCTTGAAAGTATTTTCGCCGACGCCGGCAAACAAACTTGTCTAGACCAGAAACACAAGCAGCCACCTCTGGTTTGTGTTTTTTTCTTTTCTTTTCGCTTCTGCTAGATGAATCATAAAATTTTAGCGAGATCTAATTTGGTTAACTGAAAATTAAGTTATTAATATTGTACGAGCTTCCTCCATTATTGTTCGTCGAGAAATTTTTGATCGATTGCAGCAGTTAGATTCTTTCAGTGTTTGAACTCGCATGTGAAATTTTCAAGTTTGAGAATAATATAATGATTAAATACTGTTGGAACTTAATATTCTAAGCTGCATATAACAATTGAAATATTTTTTGGGAGATTGAACTAGAAAAAGGAGTTTATGCAAATTGTGTCCCATATCTGAAAATTTATTTAAGAAATCAAATGGGTGTTGATTAATATTGGTGAAATTATTTGTTACGTGATAGAGGCTTTTTTAAGTTAAACTCTGATGGCTCTTCCCTTTGCAACCCAGGGGTAGGGGCATGTGGGGGTCTTCAGAAATCACTCGGGTGACTAGATAATTGGTTACATGAGAGACTGCCCAAACACAACTGAGCTCAATGCCCGGCTTGAAGGGCTAAAGCTAGCAGCCCAACAAAACCTCACCCCATTGGTCATAAACATTGATTCACATGAGATCATTAGGATGCTAAAATTTGGTCACTTGCCTTATGACAATATTATTTGTAAATGCAGGTCCCTTGATGACACAGCTATGAAGCCCATCCATCTCCCATAGCTTCAGGGAGCAGAATCAGGTGGCTGACCTCCTAGCAAAAGAAGGAGCATAGAAAAAAAAAATTATAGAACTATATTTTTGGAAGTTCCTCCGATGTTTGTCAATGATGCACTATCGGCAGACATCCTAGAAACTACATTCAGTATAAAAACATTGGTCTGTAATATCACTAACAATATTGCAAACAATGTTGGCTACCTGGGCAATCTCTCTAACATGCTGGACATGTAATTATTTTGTTAATGAAGTATCTGATTTATCAATAAATAAAAAATTATTTGGGTGAAGTTCATCTTAGAATTTGAGATCCATTTGGTGAAGTTTTTTACCCATTTTGGATAGAATTTCGTAAGCTCAAAGTTAAAGAGAAGAAGCCATTTTTTTGTATACAACATTATACAGTATTATACAAACTTATACTATATTATAATAAGTGAATAATATTATATAATATTGTACACTAATGTGTAACCATTCTTGTAAAAAAAATAATTGGCTATGCGAGTGTAAACTTAAAAATATGGCTATGTAAGCGCAATGTAGTGTGTTGGGCTGTACTTTTGTGTAAATCTCTTTTTTTCTCCTTTAAATATGATGGGTCATCTAATGTGTAGTGCGTGAATGTATTTTTGAATACCAAGTATATGTAAAAGGTGTGGTTCTCATTTTAAGTAAAATAAAAATAATATAAAAATAAAAAGCATGTGGTCAAGAATGAAACCATCAATCCAAAATAATGGGCAAAACCATGGGCCGAACACTTTATTTTTTATTTCATATGTGTATTCTTCCTTTTTATTTGTGTATGCATGTATATCAGTGTAATTTAATTAGCTTATAGGGGAAGACAAAACAATGGTCTTTACCTATTAGGTAGAAGGTTTACCTGTTGGATAAAAGAGAGTCATCTCATATCAAGTCACATCAAGTGACTTGTCCTTGTCACATCATGGTGTTGACGGGATATTGGGTTTGACTGAATTTTATCCGTATTTTAAAATAAATTATACCGTTTTTCATGTAATTA